GCAGTGGAGCAGGGCAGGGGCGGTGCCAGCAGGGGTGGGGTGGGTGCCCGCAGTTCTAGGGCCCTTGGCTCTGGAGCCACTTCGGGGCCCCCACTCTGTTTGTTGACAGCGTGCAGGCTGGTGAGGGTCACTGCTGGCTGCTGGGCCTTCACACCCGCCTCTGGGGTGCCAGAGTTTTGGGGGGAGCTGCCCCTCCGCCTCTGGCCCAGGTTGGCCTGGACAGCCTTGTGGACCTTGTCCAGGGAGCTCGGGTGGGGCCGCCCCTTGACCGCCGCAAGCCGCTGGACCATCTCCTCCAGGGTGCATTCCTGGGCTGTGGAGTGGGAGGTAGGGGTCAGGGGTGGGCACAGCCCCCCGGTGTCAGCCCACCAGGCTGGGTCAGGGCTGCTCACCGTCACTGGCCAAGAGCACGGCCCGGTTCACCAGGCTCTCCAGGGCCTCCCAGAGAAGCTGGCTGGAGCGGAGGGTGGGCTCCAGGTGTAGGAGGCCCTGTAGCATGGACAGCAGCTGTGCGGACGCCGGCGAGCAGCTCACCTGGGGGCGCAGGTGAGGAGTCCGGTCAGCGGCCACCCCCTCCCCGGGGCAGGCTGACCGCTGGCCTCCGTTTGCCAGAAGCATCCAGCCTGTGGCCACCCCGTGCTTCTCAGGGGCCCTGGCGATAAGCCCGTGTCAGGGTTCCCGGAGCGCCACATTGGTGACACCTGGGCCCGATCGCCCTGGGCTGGGGGCTGCCCTGTGCATTGTTCCTGGTGGTCTCTGCTCTCTCGAAGCCAGTGGCACTCCTGCCCCATTGTGACAACCTGAATGTCTGCAGATGTTTTTGGATGGCCCCTGGGGACACTCGGCGTGGGCTGCAAGTCGCTGGGCTCAATGAATGATGGAGGTCCCAGCCAGGGAGGCCTGAGCCAAACCAGAACTCAGCCCCCTGCCTCCCACGGGTTCCGAAGCCCCCTCAGTTCCCTTGATGGTGGCCGGCCTGCTGGGGCCCAGGACAGCAGAGCCATCTCTGGGCAGCCCTGCCCTTGGAAGCCTGTCCTGCTGGCTTCTGTGACCACCCAGACCAGCCCTGGGCTGCCCGCTGTGGCTCTTCCTCTTGTCAGCCCCTGGTCCCTGCTGCTCCCTGGGTGCGGCTCCAGATCTGGCCCCACTGCCCAGCCAAAGGCGCGTGACCAGGGCAGGAGGGTGCCCGCCCAGCCCACCTTGTGGAACAGGGAGGCAAAGACCTCCTGGTGGCTGTTCATGTCCACGCCTCCACAGAGCTGCAGCAGCTCCTCCTGGTCCTCCGCCTTGGCCTCCTCGAAGGCCTCGAGCTGGATCAGCAGGTCGGCGTCCCCGAGGTTCCTGTGACCAGAGGCCAGGGCAGCTGAGCCTGCAGCTCCCCCCAGCCTTCCCCGCTCCGGGCAGACGCACAGACAACCCTGAGCAGGGCCTGCGCCAGCATGTGGCCCCCATAGCCAGGGGGCGGCCGGGGGCCGTGGGGGCTGGCTTCTCTAGTCAGGGGTGGACGCTCACAGGCCCGGGCCGCCGCGTCCTCCGGGCTGCCCAGGGGTCAGCAAGCGGCTCCACGCCCCTTGGGAAGGGAGAGATGCGGCCCAAAGAGGAAGTGCTGGAGGCAGCACAGGAAGGGGAGAAGGCCCCCAGACCACACCTGGGGGGTCCACTGTGGGGGCAGGGCTTTTGACCTAAGCAGCGGGAGCTTGGGGGT